TTTTTTAAAATAATGTGTTTTAATAAAGTTGTTTGTAATCCTTTTTTTTTAATTTTTTTTTATAAATAATAGTATGAATTTTAAAATAGAACAGTCCGGGTCAAATTTGATCAGATGGTAATGTAATAGTGATATACCTAAATTTTCAAAGGGTTATAAGTTCTTTAATTATTTAAAAGTTATGCAGACGCTAGAAAAATTCTCATCATAAATATTCATAAAGTCTGAAACTATGAAATAATGATGTCGCTATAAAACTTGGGGTTTCAGTTTAAATGTTGTATTTCTTCCCTTTTCATACAAAAAAAAAAAAAAAAAACAAAAAAAAACGATGTTACATAACATACTACTCATTACTTTCAATTTTATTAGAAATTGCGTTAACCTTGAACCTAAATATTATTATAAAACCAAAATCATTAAAAAAAAAAAATAAAAAATTCTTATTTGCATAAATAATAGCTTAGCCGCAGAAAAGCCTTACAAAGTCAATCATTTGCCTGCAACTTGTATTGATTCGTTAAATGCGGCAAATATTTTCCAATCAAACGGTGTGCATGAAAAGCGCACTTTTTCCGCAAGAGAAAATCATTTTTTCAGCTTGCAATTATTTAAATCGACTATTTTTTCATAGCGTGAACTGATTGCATCATAGTGATACAATGCATTGGTGCCCAGGCCCAAGCAGCGTAGTGACATTAGTAAATTTACATACATACATATGTACATACTTGCATTCATACATCCAATATATTGGTGAATTATTTCTGAATTGTTGTTATTGTTATTTTGTACATTTCTTTTGTATGTCAACATGTTACTTCACAACTTTCGTCTAATTGGTAAAACAAACAAAAGCCATAATTACGAGTACGAGGTGAGGCTCTCTGTTTGGATTTGCCAACTACTGAGAAAATTAATCTCCTCACGTACGCGCCGAAATAATGTTGACAATGCGTTAAAGCGAGTTTTACTTCACTCCCGACACAATGAAACGATCAAACGATGCCTTGGACAACTACTATGCGGCCAGCTACCGACTGGTATTCGCCTAATGATAAGCAAGACAAAATAAAAAGCCTACGAGTTTTGATTACATTTACGGTATTTTTTGTGACATTGAAAACGCGCCTGGCTGACAAAAAAACCAAAAAGTATATAGAAATCGAAAAAAGAGAAAATCAAACAAAAACTAACAGAATGAAGTAATTTTTATTTGGAATACGTGCAGCGGCAGCCTGATGTCGTCGTCGTCGTCGGGCCTTTCGATTTCATTAGCTGCGGCCGGAGCAGCCACAAAAATATGGATATCACGTAGAGACGCACATAGCACAAATGGCAATAGTTGTTGCATGGGGGCGGACAGGTGGGGAGTTGGGGTAGACTGACTCTCACCTTCTTTGGAAAACATTCTCGAAACTGTTATTACGCTAAATGAACAACAGAGCACATAAATACAAGGCATACATACGAGCATATATATGGACATACATACATACATACATATATATGGACATACATACATACATACATATATACATACATATATACACACACATATACACATATATTTATTCGCGCATAATGTGTAGTGATAAGGCCTGCGCTTCAGTTCTGTAAATTTATCTACAAACATACATACATATGTACATACTTATGCACATATTTGTAATATTAGCAGCAAATTAAATTTGAACGCTCGCTACTCGCGCTCAGAAGCCTCAGTGTAAAATAATTGTGCACTACACCTGCTTGAGGCAATCTTATTTTTGCCCAACAGCGACCGCGCGCCCCACCCTCCGCCTAACAGCGCGTTCAGTTTTGTTTTGAGCACTATGTGTTGTTGCTATTTTTGGACTTTTGCGCTGCACAAGTGGAGCAGTAAAAATTATTCACTCTCCAGCGCACCGCTGTCGCTGACAACAACAACAACAAGCATACATAATACACACACACACATCAGCAAGGCGGTAGCTGGATTGGTAGGAGGGCGTTGAGAGGCCTGTTATTTCGACCCATATGCAGAATTTGTCATAGGCTTGAAACCTACAACAGCGCTTGCGAGTGTGTGTGGCAATATATCGATAGCGGGGTCAGCGGCGCGGGTGAAGAAAAGCGCTCACACACACACGTAACTGAGTGCGCTGAGCGCGCCGCTAAAAGAGCAACACACCTTTGCACTTGTGTGTTTGTATGTGTGTGCAGTTGCTTGTGCGCTTGTAGGGCCGCTGTACGACGGCGTATGTGTGTGCGGCTATGAGCTGCAAGTGCTCTAGCTACGCCAGCTCATTTCAGTTATTCAAAAGCATTACACTTGTCGGGACAAAACAAAGCGGTGCACACGCTTTACCGCCATTTTATCGACGCAGACATTTACGTCGCAGACTTAATTATTTCTATGAC